AGGTCTTTTCCAATCAAATGATTCTGATTCTATGATTTTAGCAACTGATGGTGGCTTAGGGACTGCCAGGCCAGAACAGTGTGGGCTGGGCTCAGACACTGTTTGCAACCAGATAAGGAACAGAAACAGCCTCGGAAGCCCTGGATTTCTGAAAGTGAGACACAAACTCCTTCGGCTTGACAGCAACCTAAAGGTCAGAAGCACTGGTAAGGGTCCCAGTCCAGAGGTGTCTCTGCTCCTGTTCCAGCCAGTGTTGCAGCCCATGCGCTGCCAGATACCCCAAGTGGGGAGGGAGGGCAGAGTCGGGCAGCAAGCTGAGATGCAGAAGCATTGTGTGCTGCAGGGATGGTGAAGGTCTGGACCTTACCTCTTCTACAATGGAGGAGAGCGGCCTCAGGACTCCATTCTCATCCTTTTGGGTGATCTTGGACTGGATGAAATCCACCACTTCTTGGCTGCTCATCACATTCCTGCAGAGTGGAAAGATGAGAAAGGAGCAGTCATGCCACAGTGTCCTGTGAGAGCCTCGTGTCAGGGAGCTGATGAGAACACGGCTGCGTGCAGTGAGTGACGGGAGGGTTCAGAGTGCAGCACACTGTCACATCCCTCCAGCTGAGAACAACTCCTCAGGGGCCCAACTCAACTCTCTGAGGCCAGGGGGAAAAAATGGCTGATTGGCAACCAGGGCCGTTCTTTGGGCATTCCTAAACCCAGCTCCAAAGAAAGATCAGAGCAGTGATGCCCAAGAAGCACAAGTGCTCCCTCACTACTCACCAGATTCCATCACAGGCGATGACCATGAAGTCATGGTCGTCATTTATTGTCAGCACTTTGATGTCAGGCAAGGCAGAGATCATCTGTTCTTCTGGAGGCAGATTCTTGTTCCGCTTGTAGAAGTGATCACCTGTAACAGAGAGGAGGATCCATTTTTGCCATGGTTGGGCCCTGGCAATGCTGCCTAATCCTGAAGAGTGAGAAACACTGTCCTGCCAAAGGGCAACCCCAGCAGAATTGGAGCCAGTGCTCCCACAACCAGAGCAGATCAGGATGTGGGTGCATCAGACAGAAAACATCACCTCTGGTGAACCCAACACTCTTGTTACCGTACAATAAGACGTGCCTTTGCCAGTTCAGCATCTCGTCACTCCAAACCAAGTGCCAGCTCCCAAATTCACAGAACCCCAGAATGGCCTCAATTGGAAAAGCCCTTTAAGCTCACGGAGTCCAACCATGAACCTAACACTGACCAGTCCCCAACTAACCCATGTCCCTCAGCACTGTGTCTACACGACTCTTCAATCCCTCCAGGGATGGGGACTCCACCACTGCCCTGGGCAACCCCTTCCAATGCCTCAGAACCCTTTCACCAAAGAAATTCTTCCTCACATCCCATCTCAACTGCCCTGGCCACAACTTCAGCCCATTTCCTCTTGTCCTGTCCCTTGGGCCTTGGTTGAATAGATCCACCCCCACCTCACTCCACCCTCCTCCAAGGGACTTGCACAGAGCCACAAGGTCTCCCCTCAGCCTCCTTTTCTCCAGGCTCAACACCCCCAGTTCCCTCAGCCACAAGGGAACTCAGCACACTTGTGCTCCAGACCCTTCCCCAGCTCCGTTGCCCTTCTCTGGACACGCTCCAGCACCTCCATGTCCTTCTTGGACTCAGGGGCCCAACACTGAACCCAGCACTCCAGCTGCGGCCTCACCAGTGCCCAGCACAGGGTTAAATTCCTGGGACAACACTAAGCCAACAACACATGGCATCTGACAGCATTGGTGCTGACAACTCTAGTGCTCATGAGATGAACTGTCCCATGTCTTGGAGCAGGATTTGCAGCTCACCCCAGCACTAACTTGGCTTTGCTGTGACAACACGAGATGCTCAATCTCCAGGAGCTCAGGCCAGACATTTCAGTGCCATGCCCACACCACACTGCTGGGTTCAGGTCTTCCCAAACCCTCAGTAGCCAAAGCTCACTTGAGAACACCAGTCCTCAGCTCTGACTAGCAGACTTATCTGGAACTACATCCTAGGAAGGGACTTCCAGGGCCACCACAAAATAGTAGCTGGAAATGACAGTGTCTCCCTAGATAAACAGACCCTGAGTTTCCATCCTAAATGTGGTTTTCTCTCTGTACCCAAGCACAATCATTTCAATGGTTTTGGTCTTTCTGCACAAGTACTCTCCACTCACACCCTTAGCTGCTGACATCTCCTTCCATTCCCTGTGTATTTCCCAGGACATTCTCAGTGTTACCCTTTCCTTAATGCCTCCCAGCACCTCATCTGCTCAGACTGTAGCAACTGACTGGGCCAAAACCTTGTTTGGCTGCTAACAGACATGCCCAGTGCCCGTAGCCATTAATTACTCCAACACTGCTCATAGGGACCAAAAGAGGAGGACAAAGAGCAGTCAGGTGCTGCCCAAAGCGCTGCAGCACGGGGAGTGGAGTTTGTGCAAATAAAAGGCAAGGTGGCTCAGGAACAAGTGAGTTCAAACTGATATAAAGTCAGGTCTGCAGGAAGCAACATACCAAGGTCCTTCAACAGCCTCCTAACAGGAAGAAGCCCTGTTCAACAGTCAACAGTGGTTTTGAGGCCGTTTATATGAGGTGGTTTCTGACAACCCAGCTGTTGGCACAACAGCCTTGGAGGCTTCACACACTCTGTCCTGCGCTGGAGCCCGGTAGGTGTGAGGTGTTGCTTTCCACTGAGGTCTGGCAGTTTCATGGCCATTTTCTCTAATTACACTGAAATCTCACCACATCAAACATGGAATAGGTTCTACTTATAATCTAGTTAAAAACTGTTCCCTAAACTTAGTGAATGGCAAGTGCTTGAAGTATGGATCATAAAATCATAGGATGGTCTGGTTTGGAAGGGACCTTAAAGCTCCTCCAGTCCCAACCCCCCTGCCAGCAGCAGGGACACCTTCCAC